TCACAGAGGTCGCCCGATTGATCCATCACAGTAACAAAATGTCAGGGATGAAGTAGCAACAAAAAGAAGCTGATGGTTGGGGGGGTCACCACGGGTCGCGGCATCAGGAAGGTTGAGAACCACTGCTGTGCATGGACCAGAGGATGCTTCCTGTGGGGTCTGGTGTCTTGAACGCAACATGTGTTTCCGGGATCCTCCCATGGTACACTTAGTCCTGGTGACTCATTTTTAGTGTTGGGTCATATTCCTCTGTAGCAATAGGCCATCATTAATTTGTGGCTGGCGCTGTGGGTGGACACTGGGGGGAATTCCACTCTAGGGCTATTAGGAATGAGGCTATCCAGAGTGAGCTCTATTGCACATGGTTCTCGGTGGACACAGGTATGGATCTTGGTTGGGATCGACCGAGGAGTAGCAGTTCAGGCATCGAGTGTGGGTGGATTCAGTTTGAGAACATTCTGGTTCAGTTTCTTCTGGCGGTGGCCACACATGACCACAAGCTTGGTGGTTTCAAAGCAATAAAATCCTCTTGCTTTTCTTCAGCACTGGAGGCCAGAAGCCCTTTCCCAAGTCTGTTTCACTGGGTGGAAATAAAGATGGCCTTAGGGCCAGTTCCTTCCAAGCTGGAAGGGCAGATCCCTTCTTGGTCTCTCCCGGCTTCTGGGGACCCCAGGCATTTCTTGGCTTGTGGCCACATCACTCCAAGCTTGGCCTTGGTGGTCACACTCCCTACTCCTTTTCTGTCTATGTCACATGTCCCCTGCCTCCCTCCGCTGTGGATAGCAGGCTGTTTACTGCCCCTAGGGCCCATCTAGATAACATCTTATCTACACAGCCCTGATTCTGCATATAAGATGATGTCCAGAGGCTGCAGGGATTAGAGTGTGACTGTCTTTGAGGTGGCATTTCCCACCCCGCTCCACGGCCAGACTGTTGGTTTCAAACCACAGCGTGGAATGGGTGTTCTCTGCTTCATCGCTTGGCCAGCACTTGGCGTTGTTCACCTTTCCACGTCTGTGAATCAGATGGACGTGTGATCCTCCCTCATTGCAAGTCCACCTTGATTGAGATAGGGTGCCGCTAACTAAATCCACCTTTTTTTCAAGTGGCTGTTACTATAGCCATTGCCTCTCTCTTTCTGGAACCTTCCCATTGGCCCCAAAAGACACCCCGATCCGATTCTCCCCTCCTCCCAACCCCAGGAAACCACGCCTCTACTTTCTGTCTCTGTCATCCTACCTCTTCCTGTCATTTCATCTGAACGGAGCCACACAGTTTGTGGCCTTTGGGGGTCTGGCTTTATTCACGAAGCGTAAGTGGCTAACTGCAGGACTACCCGTTCAAAACCACCAGCTGTTCCACTTGAGGAAGAGGAGGCTTGTCTATTCCTGTAGCGTTATAGTCTCGGAGACCCACAGCTCTACCGTCCTTTTTGTTGAATTACATCCCTCCGTACGGATCTATCCTGTTCGGTCCTCTCAAAGTTGGAGTTCCTGTTTTGTTGTTGAGAATACACACTCGTTCCACCGTTGCCCCACGGACCACTTAGTGCGGGCAGCCATAACCTCTGCGTTGAGCAGCTATTCCCGGGGCTTCTTATCTGAGCTGTTCCCTCCCCCATTCACGTGCACCCCCTGCCCCCAAGGGGTTCCTGTATCATCTTTCCAGTTGCTGTT